TAATGCATATACTTGACGATATAAATTTAGCGGCTCATGAGTTTATTGGAAAACAAGCCCCCGCCAAAAATACCTTCAATTGCCATCAATGCCTACAAAACATGTCGCAATCAAGATTATTTGTGCAAATCAGACAAAGTTACATACTTGGTTAAACCACCTTACACAGACAAACATCTCATTTACGTTAAAGTAGATTCCTATGCCTCGTTATTTGACCACCGAAAGAGGCCCATTAGGTCATCAAATATCATGAAATTTATAAATAAAAGATGTAATGCTCAACCATTTATTTATCCAAAAGAACCAACGGGTCACTTTCTTGCGGTGCCAGTGTTAGATGTACAGTATCAACCAGCATGTTGAAAGTTAGAAATGACGAAATCATTACAAGCATTTAGAGGGTTTGACCATAACGAATCTGAATCTCAAAGTAAATCTGCAATGCCAGGGGAATTAAAGGAGGATTAAACTTGAGAATTAACTTACTTAAAACTATTTAAACCGTAGTTATTTCCAGGAATAACTGGGGTTATTTTACACCTCTTAAACAAATAAGTATTTATTAAAAATTTGAGTCCTTAAACAAATAACTATTTATTAAAAACATGGACAGCCATTACATATCACCATATATTTGTCAGCTTTATGAATTAATTGGCGCAAAACCACCCCCAGAAGCGTATAAGAAGATAGAAGAAGAAGACATGTGTCTGCACATAATCAGAGTGGAAATAGAAGAAGCTAAACTTGTGTGTCGAGGTTGTGGACTAATATTAACTCGCATTTATTCAGGCGAAGCAGAAAATGTGGGCGGTAAATACTATCAGCGTTTTGTTTACAAAAAGCCGAAATCAAAGTCAGGTAACATCTTAAAACAACTGAACAACCAAGTGACTACCAAGCAAGCGGGTCTCATAGAATACAAATTAAACCAAATTTTAGCAGGCCTTTAATTGCCGTCTGTTATCAAGACGTAACCGGGGAAACTGCAGAAACTGTAAACGACTTGTTTCAAGTATCAAGGAAACACTTTACCGGAGCGGTAAAAAAAGTTTAAACTTTTTAAAAACCGTTAACAGTACAATGGAGACGCATTCTTTTTATTTAACCGAAAGCAAACAGACTTTTAAATTAGAAAATCAAATCGATAATCTAAAGGGCAATAAAACATTAAAGTCAGAAAGGTAAACCTCCACCCAGGTTACTTCAACATTACTAAATCCACCAAAATAGAATGGGAAACTCAAGGAGAAGGGTGTCCTGCAGTAAGAGGGCCCGAAGGAGTTTGACCAGCGCGTGAACGACCTGCCTCACTTGAGGTATCACCTATCAACATGGACGTTGTAGAAGCACTTAAACCCGCAATACCATTCTCGAAATTAGAGGCAGACAATTTAGTGGTCTTTTATGACTAAATAAGAGATTTCCTTCAAACTAATGACGCAGGGAATCTAGAAGAATTCAGCACCCCAGTTGACTAAAAGTAACTGACCTAACTGATCAAATAAAAACGTTAACAGATCAACATTTACGTTTAGGAACAATACCAGTCAAAGCATCGGATAAAGAGGAAGATAACCCGATAATTTATCTGATATTTTTATCCCGAGAGAAAATAGACGTCATGTCAGAAGCTCGCCGTCTCGCTTTGGCATTTATTTGCGAAGGGTTTTTAGGTGCAAACATTGAAGAAAGAACGAGGACCATTAGAGCTGCTCTGTTCAGTGATAGAGACGCTCTTTTTGTTCTGTCTTCTGGTTCTAACGCGCTTGCGTTTTCCGATCTAAATGTACTTATTTCCAATAATTTTAAGACTCCCAAAACTTAATGTTCACTGGTAACTGCTGTCTAGTAACAATCTATCATTGGTCTTAAGAGATTGGCAAAACTGAAGCTACCCAAGCGACATATGCAAAGGTGCAGTAAGAGTTGCGAAAAGGAGAAAAAATAAAGGTGCAAAACAAGTGAAACACCTTTAAAAAATTGGATAGTCTTTTTGGAATGTTTTGAGTTTAGATGGGTTATTTTAATTGAGTGATTCATTATTTAAAGTCTCCAAACAAACTGAAATATTTGCTTTATCATGAAGCCGGTAAAGCATACGTGAATGTGGCTATTCTTCAACACACTGGTAAGTTCCTATTCGATCACACGTGAATTTGACCTTCTAAATCCGAAACAGGCGACGGGATCAGGCAATCTTTCTTACGAAAAAAATTTTAGCTTGATAATGACAATATTAAAAAATTACATTAACTCTTGAACTACAGGAAGAACCAAACAAAGTCTCCATAAAAAATGTAGTTCGTAAATGCAAAAATTGTACTTTGAAGTGCGTTTTTTAGGCACAGAAAGGGTCTATGTGCAATAGCATAGTGACGTCACAGTCACGGACGAATCATATCTTCTCTCATGGTTTCAGGTAAAAAAAAACTAATTACAAATGCACATATTCAAACGGAATTGTCACGCGCGCCATTAATCATGATCATTCGTGCTAAGGAGTTGGATCGTGCAGAAGTGGCTAAAATGAACTGCTCGAAGATAGAGTTGACATTCTCATCAAGCGCTCGAAGTGCGACCACTGCCAAGTCCAGCGTAGCTGGTGAATCTTCGTCACACACTCAAGCCAAATAATCAGAGATGAGTCCCGTAAACATGGTATTGCGAAGACCATGTCATGAGGCTCTGTCGAGTTTAGCAAGAGTAGACTTGGCAAAACACTTGCCCTCACCTTTGAATGGAAACTTACCTGTACACTAGTGAGCGTTGGAAGAAAGTGTATCTTTAGCCTCAGTTGGCATCTCAGAGACGGCGAGGAAGTTGTCAAAGTCTCCCTTGTAAATTGGAAAAAAGTCAATGCTCGGGGGGGGGTATGGATGCCATTGTTTCGCACCAGCAAGAACTTTAAACATCTCGACGCATGACCGGTCAAGTGGAAGTTCTGGCAAAATCGGCGTTGATGCCTCCAACCTAGTGGGGTGGTGCTTGAAGGAAGCATGTGAAGAGGCATCTGCCATAGATCGATTAGAAGGCAACCCCAATTTGTGGATCATATCTTTCTGAAGAAGACGGAGCTGTGCCTCAGGAGGTTTAAGACTGGCTGCGGAAGAGATATCCTCATCTTCAAAAGATGTATCTCATTCCATCTGGAGTTGATCACAGGAAGGAGGAACGTCATCATGTCTTGTTGAATGGCCAGGAGCTAGAGCAGGAAGTGAGCTGTAGTCTGCTTTGGAACCTGGGTAAGTCGAAGGGACGAAACTGTCAAAGGAAGATCGGATCATCGATGAATGCAGGTTCGGTTGTAGATGCGGATACGGATCACATTCTGCAAGCAAGGAGCCGTCGCCAAGGGAACAGGATAGGGCTCTAGGTGGCTGGCTATAGCTTCTCTGAGAGCATGCGGACCGCTGACATGATGTCAGCCGAAGCACTGTCCATCTGTAAGGAGTGAGACTTCTTACGCTTGGACCCCGTAGAAGAAGATGAAGAATGCTTGCACTTTTTGAGTGTGGGAGAACTAGTTGTAGAGCCAGCAGTCGAGGCTTGGTTAGCTGGGGTGTCAGAGGCTTGCTCAGGCTGCAGTGAGGATACAGCAGGGGAGGCTGATGAACCACAGGGCTAGAAGCAGCCTTCTCAGAAAGGCCCAGAAGGTAGCCAGGAGATGGGATGATGTACGGAAATCAAAAGCCCCAATGGTGAGGGAGGCCGGTGTGCCCACATGGCCGGGATTGTCTCTGCAGGGACCACTCCAGAGAGCAGCGTTATGTTAGCCCATGGAGAGTCAGCGTCTTTGTCACAGCCTGGTGCCCTGGCTGAAAGGGCATTTGAAGACAATGGCACAGGGGCGATGCGGCCGTGTAGACAGCAATGGTGGCATGGGGCTGTTCCGATGCGTGGTCTTGTGAGCCATGCTGATGTCGAGTGTTGCCCATGGTAGGTGTTGACAAGAGCTTGTTGTTGACCGACGTCACCCGTTCGGATTGCTTGGGAACTGGGATGCAGAAGTGTTGCGCCCAGACCCAGCTAGTGGGGAAATTTCGACCTCGAGTGCAGCGCCACTCTGCACTATCGCCGACTGCGATGCTTTGGCATTACGTTGGGGAACTGAGAGTTCAGATATCGCATGCCCTGCAGCTCAGACCCTTGAAGCGTGGCATGGGCTAACCCTGAAGTGAACCAAAGATGGTATTGCCAGCAGGGATTAGCTGCGGATTCACAAGTATTGCATGGAATGCCACTCGATCCTCTGCAGAGTCTATAGAGGAATGTAGGGTCGCGGAATTTGGAACACTCACACTTCCTAGCGAGCCCCAACAAACCGAGGGTCGCCCCATTGACCCTATATAAACACCAAAGAAAGATGGGGACCGCCGTATTGGATCGCTTGCACTGCCTCGTGGAACCCCCAACAATCCCAGGGTTGCCTTGCTGACCATATGTATCGCTTAGTAGTATAATAGCGTAGAGTCAACAATCTATAGAATGCACACACATAAGACGAGAAAAATACCACCGCAACAAGAAAATACACAACTTAACTCAGAAAAATTGAACGTACATTTATTACAATATGTTACGGTTTGATCAGAATATCACAAGGGTGTAAAAGCGACAAGGAAACTCGGTAAACTTGAGGATGTCTGAAAAACACTTCTGTATAGAATCACGTTAAGGAGAAGACGGCCAAACATGGTGGCCATTCCGCTATGCATCATGGGACTAGAGGGCACACTACGGTTGATAAGAAGTTTTAGCGAATTTGGATATTTAGGGACTGTTTGGGGTAGGTTGAAAGCAGAAGACTAAGGTTTTTCTTTAAAATAAACACAAACCTGAAACAAGCCCAACCTCACTAAATTAACCACACAGATCTCAAGCAAAGTCTGTTTAGATTGGGTCCGAATACTCTGGATCATGTTTGCACAACATGCACTTTGACAATCACACCAACTTTGTCTAATTTCCGGAGCAGTTCTTAATTCAGGACGTACCATTTGGTTGGTTGCCACACTGGCAACTATGTATGTCTCTGTGCCAGCATCAGCATTTGGTGGTAAGAGCGGATCACTGGTTTGTGGTATATACATATAATGCCAAGGATAACCCCCAAAACACACATCATGCTGTAAGCAAGATACTTCCAAGAGAATAGGAGGTCGCTCTGCAACGTTAAATAATCCATGAGATGTGACGTTAAATAAACAGCAAAAGCAAAGTTACACTGCCCTAATAATTTTGTGGCTCCAGTTGAGTCATTTTCAAGGAAGTGACTTGAGTCAGACCAGGAAGGCCGAGTTGTGTCAAGTTGAGTTAATTCATGGTCTCTGGTCAAGTTGCGTCAATTAAAGGCAACTATCACACTTGAACACCCTCTAATAAATTAATCTCAAAAGAGACGAATAGGTTGGGATTCGTACTACTTAATATCTGTCGGAAGAATGAAACAAGGAACACAAACAAGGAACTAGTTTATTGATGAAGATCCAATGAGTAGAAAATATGTAACCAAGACAGAGCCTCTTCTAGACATTTCTACCAAATATCTACATGTACAACAAATTGGTTTTGTCTCTGGTTTTGCTTCAGGTCTTGGACTATCAGTACACTGACATCAGTACCATATTGGAACCTTAAACTGTTTCACATCATAAATATCATCTCATTTTGTAAAAGCAGAATACAAGAAATGGTCCAAAGGCAGGGCATGGACTCAAACTAAGAATTGGTAATTTCATTTACAGGTGACTGGTTTTGTTCACGCTGGATTAACTTGTTATGATAGTGAAAAGAACTCAATTTGCTTACCATCAAAATCAACTTTTTGACATGAGGTAAAATGGGAAAAAATGCAGTACAGGTTATCTAAACTTTGGGAAAGTGTTTTGTAAGTATGGGCCAGCAGGTTATGATGTAAAATTCATTATCAACATACATGTACATGGACATTTTTTTTTCTTTTTTTTAACAGTTGTAAGTATATTAAACCAAAACATTTTGTGCCCCTTGTCCCTTTCTTCCATTATTTTCTAGTACACCTAATCAAAAAATAAAATGTGAAGCACAAACTTATTTTTCGATCCCAGAGTACCTGTTATATGTATATTAGTAGGTATTCCTGTTGGATACGATCCCACAACACCTGATGTCACTGATGATGAACTTCCTACCAGCACTGTAGGGGCAACTTCTCCCAGTTGCAACGAGAATCTTGTATTCTGTGTCAACACAGAGGCAAGATATTTTTACACCAAGCTTCTATAAACAATAAGTATTTCCTTTTTCACTGAGAAGAGATCTGTATCAAAGAAAAATCATATTTTCATTTTTCCATCAGTTAAAAAAACAACCCAGTTCAGATTGTTGTTATATGCACGTATGTACACATACACAGGTACTTTAGAATCACCATCTAGACAGTTTAAAATAATTTTATGAAATGACCCTATGCATTGGTAGCCCTTAGATATAAACAAGCATATTAATATGAAGAGTTTTACCTTTCACAAACTTGACTTAACAATATTCACAGAGTATTCAGCACTATGCTTTTTGAGAATTTGTGAACAGAAATATTCATAAGCTTTAATATTTAACTAAGGCTCTAACCCGCTAAAGATACCGATACTTCTTACCTGCACGCACCATTTGACTGTCCAATTTGGCAGGAGAATTCCGCAAAGCAGTACATACTACAATTAATCACGCTTTAATGGGACATGTGATGTTGAAATGCAAATTTAGGGAGCGTCTCAAAAGTCGGAACGCTTGGAACGTTCCTTTTGGGAACAGGGGATGTTCCCGATGGGAACAATGACTTTCCCACTTGGAACAAGCCTTGTTCCAGTTTGGAACATGCGCCGTTCCCAAACAGAACCTTCCATTTTTGGGAACACTAATATCAGGGAATGTGTGTGTTCCTTTTCGGAACGCTGTCAACGAGTGCTGAGCACACAAGTCTTGTTTTTTCCATTTGCAGTCCTTAATGCTTTTGCCTTCGTACGGGGTATTCTCCGTAAGTAAACTTACAGTGTCCTTGTTTATGTCGAAGCAAGACTTTTGCCCTGATATCATACTAATTAAAGTTCAGTAAATCTTGGGATATTATATGTGCAAACATTTCCAAAAATATATCTTCAAATTTGAATCAAACCGCAGGTACTGCAGTACTACACACGATTCACTAGACTGGAGCATTTGATGCTGACGGAATCATTATTAAATCATTATTAAGGCAAGCTTCCTTGTTCCCAGACTTGACAATTATTCGTTGACGGAATACTTTGCATTTTTTCCAGATTACATTGCAAAAGAAAAACTACACTGAACCTAATACTGCTTTTGTATTCAGCACCGCAAGCATCACACTTCAGTAAAAATTACACATTCTAAGAAACTAGAGAAATTGTCATTTGATAACAAATCTGCTCTGTGGAACACTACCATTCCCTGGTAGAGCACACAGAGAACACAGTGGGAACCCTACTGTTCCATAATGGAGTAGTATAGCAACTTTTCCCCTGTATACCTACCCGACCCCTCCTCACCCCTTTCTCGGGCCCTCTCCCACCTCGGAAAAAATGAAAAGAGGTTCTCACTCTCGTATAAAAATCTTTGTTGCATACTTTGGATATCTGGGAGACTTGGTGGCTTGAGGGAAAAGAAAAAAACACCCTTCTAAAATGGACAATGGGGTTTGAGAAAAATAAAAAAAAATTTTACTTAATTATATAAAAATATGAACATGAACAGAGATAATCAAACCAGATCACAACAGCGTCCTGTATTATCAGGCTTTAATCGAATTAAAAAATCATTTTTATCCGACTTTGTCAAGTGACACAACATATTATTACCTCCAACTCACCATCGCCAAAATACAAAACCAGAGCTCGTATATGCAATCCAAGAGAGCCAGCGTTCATTCAGAAACCTACAGCGCAAAAAGTATCGTCAGCTCTTACAGGTAGTGCAAGATAACGACATACCCTTTACTGCCACTGATGCAAATGGTAACATCTTGTGGAAAGATCTCATTGATGCGATTAAAGCCTTTACCCGCCCAGAAGTGATTGCAGAGGCAGACATCCAAAAGGTCCGATGCTTTCAAGGTAACTACAGAAATTGGGAATTGAAGCTTAGTTTCTTTGCAGACAACTTTTTACACTTTTTTGATTTTTACAAAAGTTACAACAAAAAGAAAGCATTGGATGAATTTTGCGAGATAAGAACATACAAGTTGCAAACCGCGATCAAGGTTCAGTTTAATAGACAGGCCTGAAGCGGAAACCAAAGTTGGTGTTTTTACGTTTATGAGTAAAAATATCACGGTGTTTACCAAACGAGAGGTCAAAAATGCTTTAGAAAAACAAAGAGAAAAACAAATGGAAGATGTCAAAGCTCATACCAACGAGGCTCTGGCTGGGTGTTTGATAAAGTTATCATGCTTTATATCAACATGGCACGCTTTAATCCAGTAGGAGCATCTTACATTCCACTTCCTAAAGAATTGGCAGTTAAAACTGCAATCATTAACATTCAAAACAAAAAAGATCAACAGTGCATACGCTGGGCAATAAGAGCTGCCAAGGGTCTCTATAGTGACAACGTTAAAAATCAACTCGAAAGCAATCCAGATTATAAAATAAACAACGAAAGGACTTCAATGTGTACAACAGCAGATGGTTTAAATTTCACAAACATGGACTTTCCTATGCCACTTCCGCAGATTTCACACATTGAAGCTCAAAACAACTTGGTGTTAAACGTTTTTGGTTACACCAGAAAAGACGGTGTGTTTATACTTCACAAGACCGAAGCTGTAGGTAAACGCATCAACTTACTTTATTTTAACCAAGGTGAAAAAGCCCATTTTTGTTGGATTAAAAATTTCTCTGGGTTGATGGGCAGTGTTAACAATCACAATGGTCAGAAATATTATTGCTTAGATTGTATGTGTCACTTTCAAACACAACAAAGATGAGACAACCACAAAGAAGACTGTCAAGGTATAAACGCAGCACATTCCAAAGTTGTACTCCCTGAAAAAGGCAAAAACATTCTCAAATTTGAAAATGCCCTGTTTGTTATCTCTGAGTATTTTTAATCTGTTTTAGAAACTCTCGCACCCGCACAAGCCAACATGATTAGAATGCAACATCACAAGCTGTGCAGCTACTCTTATGCTGTCGTAGGTTGCGACGGGGTATGTATGAGTCACAAAACAAACCGATGCAGCCACTCATTTTGTAAAATCGCTATCTAGAGAAACGAAAACAATTAACGAAACGTTGGCCGATCCAAAGCCTCTCGTTTGGTTGCCTGAGCTACAGAAACACCATGACAAATGCAACAAATGTTGGATCTGTGAAAAAGTGTATCTATCCAACCAAAGAATCGCAGTGTCAATGTCCTATCCCAGCCGAGCCAAAAGCCGAATCCCAAAAGATAGATTTTAGTTTCAAAAACGACCGCTGCTACACCTACTACATCTGTATGAGTTATAAGAGACCCATCAACAAGTTTAGAAAAGTCCACGATTACTGTCACGTCACGGGTAAGTACAGGGGGCCAGTGCATGCCAACTGTAATCTCAAACTCCGAGTCGTACTTAAGCAAACACCCATTCAAACATGCTCATTTAATCATGCAGGGTGCCCGTGCGTTAAACAGAAAACAAATTAAAGTCATCGCTAAAAACACCGAGAATTTCATCACATCTGATTTTGCGAAGAATTTCTTCAAACTGATGAACAACTCGGTCTTTGGCAAAACGATGGACAACGTGAGAGACCGAATCAATGGACACCTGCTTAGAGACTTACAGGACGCCGAACAGTACAAAAAGTTGGTTTCTAAACCTCACTACAAATCGACCATGCCATTCCCAGAGTGCAATCTCTCAGTCATCGAGTTTATTGCGTGTAAGTGTGGTTGATTTGTCTATAACGTTAATGTATGATTTCTATTACAATACGTTGAAAGCAGACTTTGGCAACGACATTTGTCTTTTGTATACTGACACCGACAGCTTACTCCTTCAAACCAGTGACTTCAATCGAGATCTGCAACAAATAAGTGACCTATTCCATTTTTCTAACTACCCGCCCACACATGCGCTTTACGACCCTAAAAACAAAGAAATCACTGGCAAAATGAAAGACGAATTTGGTGGCCGACTGGTGAAAGAAGTCGTTTGCATACGTCCTGAAATGTATTCGATTTCAACGGAAGATCAAAATTTGAAGATTGCCAAAGGGGTAACTAAAGTCGTGATTAAAAAGAAAGTGCGTCACGAAACTTATAAACGGTGTTTGTTTGAAGCAGTTCAAACCTTTCTCAAGCAGCAGTTGATAAGATTAGGCAATCATCAAATTTTCACGATTAGTCAAAACAAACTGAGTCTTTCACCTTTAGACACAAAGCGTTACCTGTTTAAAACGAATGGCATTGACACATTGGCTTACGGTCATTATAAAACAACTATAAAAGGATTTAAAGCTACTGACCTTTTTAAAGCCAAACAAACTTTAAAAGCAGAACCCGGTTCTAGGTTTGAAGAAATCAAGTCAAAAGAACTATGTGATGCACTCATTTACGAATGGGTATATACATGTACCTCCGATTGCAAAAATAAAGAAAAAAGTCAACTTGATTTTTACGCAACTAAACTTAACAGTGTTAAACTTAACAATGGAAAACAGCAAAATTATGACACCTTTGCCTGCTCCTTAGGTGGTAATGCAGTGTCCTCTAGCACCAGTTGAAGCTCTTCTCTGACAAAAGAACGCTTGGGACCCCAAGTAAATAATATAAAGTAGGACCCGTTTTCATCTTTTTACCGTTAACCCGCTTAAACTGACTCATGCACTTTTCCACTTGATAAATGTAGACGCTCCAAACAGCATTGGTCGCTCTTTTAACGGTACCGCCTTCCTGTTCACCGGGGTAATATAGGTACCGCACGACAGCGTCCGAAGGTAGTTCTATCTCTCTTCTTTTGGGGACGGGAACAGATGGCTTTTGTTTTACTAGGTCTTGTTTGATAGCTTCCTCGGGCACTTTGTCGATTAACCTAGTCTTTTCTTCATTTAGCGCTTTTATAACCTGGGGCAATCTTGTGATCCATTCTACATTGCATTCACCAACATGTAACATTTCTTGCGAGTATTGATGTCCAGATATCATTCGGCTAAAGTTCTGTTAAATCTTTCTACTA